CAGTCAGTTGAGTGTCCAAACTTTAGCTCAAGTCATGGTCTCATCGCCTGTGAGTTTGAGCCCCACGTCAGGCTCTGTGCTGACAGCTCATAGCCTGGAGCCTGTTTCAGATTCTGTGTCCCCCTCCCTCTCTGCCCCTCCCCCACTTGTATTCTGTCTCTCTCTGAAAAACAAACATTTAAAAATATTTTTTTTTAAATCTTAGTTCTCTCCTTTTTCACTTCAACTATTTTTCTGTTTCTATGCTTGAGCTTGCTATCTTTCTTCCATACGATCTGCTCTATTTCCAATGCATTCTAACACATTCTTTATCTCATTTATCAAGTTCTTCAGCTGTCAAGTTTGTTTAGTTCTTTCTTAGGATTTTAATCTCTTTGGTAAAATACTCCTTCTGTTCATCAGTTTTATTCCTGAGATCACTGTATTGCCTTTAGGACTTTCCTTGTGTCTCAGTTTTTTTCTTAACAACAATTTAAAATTTTTTTATGTTAGAGCATAATATTCTGCGCCTTTGGGTTCAACTGTGGAAATTTTATTTTTGTGATCCGTATTATGATTTTTCATGGTATTTGATGAGAAGTGCCTCTGCCACTGCATTTCAAGAAGCAAACACCTTTCTTACTTAGTCAATTTTTGCTTACTTTGATTCTAACAGTTCAACAAGTTGGTAGTGAAGAGCCTTCCTTTTGTTTTCCAGAAGGTGACCTATCACAGAAGTCTCTGCTTCCTCTTACTGAGTACATACACACATTTAAAAGAAAAAAAGGCGGGGGGGACATGATGGCAGAGTGGGGGAGGTATGTGTACCAATGGCTTGAGGCATTGGCTGTTCCCAAGGCCCATTAGCGGGTACCCTCAGGTGGGAAAGGGGGTCCCTAAGAACTATGGCTCATCCTTTCGCCTCCCAGAGCAGACAGCAGGAGATTCCCTTCTGCAGTCTTCTCTGTCTGTCTACTTCCCTTTCCTTTCCCCTCCTCACTATGGTCTCCAGCTGCAACTGCAGCACCTACAGTCAGGCAGACCCCCACTCAGTGCCTTTCCTCTACACCTCCTTGTGTAGTTGTGTCGGTTCACTGCCTTTTCTGTCATCACTGCCTCTGCTGCTCCTAATTCCACCACCTCCTCCACAGTCCAGTCCACTCTCTAGTAAGTGCACAGATGGATGAATCTCTCAGGTGTCTCGGGAGGCTGTACAGAGGCACTTTTTTTTTTCCAGTTATGGATGTCCATATAAATCAAATGGGAGAGGAAAAATTAATGAAAAGCCCAGGACCAGATGGCTTCCCTAGAGAATTCTATGAAACATTTAAAGAGGAATTAACATCAATCTTTGAAAAACTTAAAGGGAATATAACACTTCAAAAATCATTTTACTAGGCCAACATTACCCTGATACCAAAGTCAAACAAAGATATTATAAGAAAAAGATAACTACAATATCCCTGATGAATAATGACACAAAAATCTTCAATAAAATACTAGAAAAATCAATCAACCACACATCGAAAGTATTAATCACCGTAAACAAGAGGAATTTATTTCTTGAATAAATTACCACTTCTCTTCAACATACTGATGGAAGTCCTAGCCCAAATAATTAGGCAATAAAAGGAATAAATGGATCTAAATCAGAAAGGAAGAAGTAAAATTATTTGTGTTCACAGAGGACATGATATTGTGTATGTAGAATATCCTAAAGATTACACACACACACACACACACACACACAGTTAAAACTAATTAACTCAAGCAAAAATTAATGGCATTTCTACACACTAACAACAAACAATTTATGGAAGAATTTTTTGTTTACATTCCATTAGTAGTGCCAATACAATACTTAAGAATGAACTTAACCAAGAAGATGAAAGACCAGTATGTTGAAAACTAAAAAAAACATTACTGAAAGTCATTAAATACACAAATAAAAGGAAAGATATTCCACATTATGGATCAGAAGACTTAATATTGTTAAATTATCCACACTACCTAAAATGATCTACACATTCAATGCAACTATCAAAACTTTATGGCATCTTTTTGCAGAAACTGAAAAAATTCTAAAATTCATATGGAACCACAAAAGACCATGAATAGCCAAGAAAATTTAAAAAAAACTCTTAAGAAAAACAAAACTGGAAACCTCACACATCCTAATTTCAAAATGTACTATACAGCTATGGTTATCCAAACAGAACGATACTAGCATTAAAAAAAAACCCACACTGATCAATAGAACAGAATAGAAAGTCCACAAATAAATTCTCACATTTATGGTTAAACGATCATTGAGAAGTGTGACAAACTATACATGGAAAAAGGATAGTCTATTCTACAAATAGTGGAGAACTTAGATATCTACATGCAAAAGAATGAAATTGGACCCTTGTCTTACACCATATAAAAAAATTAACTCAAAATCATTTATAGACTTAAACATAAGACCTGACACTACAAAACTTCTATAAGAAAACAGAGAAACACCTGCAGGACACTGAATTTGGCAACAATGTCTTGTAAACGACACCAAAAACACAGGCCACAAAAGAAAAATACATAAATGGAATAGATCAAATTTAACTTCTGTGCAACAAAATAATCAGCAGAATGAAAAATAACCTGTGGAACTATAGAAAATATTTGCAATCATATTTTCATATGCTGTTTTATATCTAGAATATATAAAAATTTCATATCAATTAACATAAACCCACAAATTATCCATTTTGAAAATAGGCAAAGGACTTGAACAGACATTTTTCCAAAGAAGGTATCAAAATGACCATCACGCATATGAAAAGATGTTTGGTATCCCTGATCACCAGGAAAACACAACCACAATTACGTATCACCTAACACCCAATAGGATGGCTGCTGTCAATAAATAAATTAATTAATTAATTAACAACCATTGGCAAGGTAGTGGAGAATTTAGAATTACTGTTGATGGGGGTGTAATACTGTGCAACTCTTATGGAAAATAGTACAGAGGATCCCCAAAATATTAAAAATGGAACTATCATATGATCTAACAACTCCATTCCTCAATTAAAAACAGGATCTGAGATATTTGCACACCCACGTTTATTGCAACCTTATCCACAACAGCCAAGACGTAGAACCAAACCAAATGTCCATCAACAAATGAATAATAAGATGTAGTACATACATCCAATGAAATATTATTCAGCCTTTAAACAGAAGGAAATCTTATATGTTACAACATGGATAAACCTTGAGGACACTTGCCGAGTAAAAGCAACCAATTCCAAGAAGACTAACACTACATGATTCCACTTATATGAAATATTTAAAAGAGTCAAACCCTTACAAACAGAAAAGTAGCACGGTGTTTGCCAGGGACTGTAGGGGAAAGAAAAAAAACAGAAAGTTGCTATATACATATAGAATTTCAGTTTTACAAGATGACAAATTTATAGAGATTTGCTACACAACAATGGGCATAATTAACACTAGTGTACTTTATACTTAAAAATGGTTAAGATGATAAATTTTATGTGTTTTACCACAAAAAAAATAATTTTAAAAATTGTAGTAAAGGCCCGAGACAGTATAATTAGGCCAGAAAAAAAGACATAATAAATGGAAATAAAAAAATATCTATCATTATTTGAGATACATAATTCTGTTATAAACCAAACATAATCTAGAGAAAAAATATTAAAAAAATACTTGATAAATTCTTTAATTATTTGATGCAGTCGTCTTTAATAAAAAAGGTCTATTTGCTACCTAGAAATAACCCTAAGAAAATTAGACAAGAACTTTCTACCAACAGATTATAAAATTTTGCATAAGATATTAAAAGATTAAAACTGGAGAAGAAATTTCATGTGTGAAAATCAGACACTGTAAAAAATATATTTGTTCAACTCAAACCGACTTACACATTTACTGTAACTTGAATAAAACAATATAATACAATCCTTTAGTTACTCATAACTTGAAAATTTCTTTGAAAGACCTCACATCCACTAATAACCAAAGTACTCCCAAAGAAATATTATCAAGGCTTACTATAAAGCTAAGAGTAATTTACATAAAGCTCTCCAAACAGATCTAACCTATATGGAAACTTAATATATAACATTTGTAGATTAGTGAGAAGGGAACAACTTTTCAATATTTAGTGTTAGGACAACTGGTTATCCATACAGGAGAAACAACGGCAACGGTAATTGAATTCTCTCAGCAAGTAGTTAAACAAGAAATATGACATAAATGTGTGAAACTTTTAGAATGTTTTAGAGCCTTGGTATAGGGAAGGATTTCCTAAACAAAACACAGAAAATAATGGTATTAATAACTCAAAAAATTCACCACTGCAAAATCAAGAAAGACATACATCCATTAAAGGACACCTTTTAAAAATGAAAAGACAAACCACAAATTAGGAAAAGATACTCGCAAATAAAATATCAACAAAGAGTTAATAATAGGATTACATGAAGTTTTTTACCATATCAGTGAACAGAAGATTATCTAATAAAAGATGAGCCAAGAGATAAGAATGGGCATTTCCACAGAAGAGGAAACACAAGTGGTCAGTAAGCGTATGCATGTATGTTCACTTCTCATTAATCGGGGAAATACAAGTTAAAACCACAACGAATAATGAGATACAATTTTACACTAAATAGATAAAACCAATGAACAACACCAAATATTGGCGAGAATGGGGAGCGCACTAGAAACGATCACACACAGTCTGTGGCCATGTAAATTTATACAGCAAACTGTGCATACAGTGGGTGGATGTGGACTGTCAATTTAGCTAAACTGGATTATGTTTCGCAACATTGCCTCCACGCACGTTTGCAAGTTAACGCAGGCCACGAGAGCTAATTTATGCAAGACCGGTGGACAGAGGTAAAGCAGTAGCTATGCTCTTCATGCTTGAAAGTTCAGAATACCCAGCACTGATGCAGTTTGCACACACTGTCACTATCTGCCGACTCACCAGGGTACTGTGAGGCACCAGCGAGTCCACAGCTCCTGTGGCTTCTCCAGGTCCTGTAGGATCCTCACTGGGCCGTGTGGTTTTTAGTCCTGTGAAGAACACCATGTGCTCCTAGAAGATCTTCTCATCACCAAAGTTGTAGGCCTAGAAACAGAGTAAGGTTTTACTTTGTCCTCATGGGTCCCGGTTTGTCCGTTCTCTACCCTATTTACTATCATCTTCTCTTTCTGACTGCCAGCCCTGTTGACCTTATACCAGACACAAAACAGCTTCATAAAGACTGTTTAACCAGCTGCCACAAATGCATAAGGTCAATTTCTTAAATAAATATTTTCTATACGTATCACTCGAAAGATTCTACTCTTTTGATTTAACTTTGTGATTATGAAATGAAGAAAATAAAACAAGCTGTATGTAGCAAGTAATGGTTTAATATTTCATCGACCATTAAAAATATACTGACTTTACCTTCTTTTTCTGATACATTTATTTAAGGAGAAAATAATGCACAAAATTCACCCTTTCTTTAAAATATATTCTTTTGCCTAAGAGCTTTCTTTCTATTAAACGTTACTCAGGGTTAAATTTATCACCGATGGCAAGCCTAATTCATAATAATGCATGGTGCTCACTCCCAGAAAAATGAATGTCATCAACAGGGGTGAAGTATCCAGAGAGTGTGGGGCAGACTTAGGTGTCACCTATCAGAGCATTTGTGCAAAGGACTAATTTGAGGAACAGCATCCTATGAAGAAATCAAAGCCAGGCAGAAAATCCAATACCCACGGCAATCTAAAGGGGTTAAAGAGAACAGAACATAAGCCAACAAAGGTATTGAAAAGGAGTGAGGAATGAAAAATAAATTTGTAAATTTGAAGGTGAGAAGTACAGGCTGGAAGAACCCTCTGAGCAAAGGGAGGCAGCTATAGCTGGTAATTTTTCTAATGGCCTCTGGTAAGGGCAATAAAACAAGAATTTACTGTAATCGTTACTTGTTTTCTTCACATAAAGCACCTCTATTCTTTACAGACACCACAGAAGATTTTTTGGGAGCCAAGAACATGTTGACCTGAGGAAGGCATTACAAATACACCATTTATAAACTTAAATAATATAGTTCAGTTAAACTATTGATGTCAACATGTAAACCTTATATATCTGGAATGAATTATTTGGATCAATGTTTTAGTTACCATAGTATTTTGCCATTATGCTATAGAGACATCCATTAATAAACGATTAGCTGATTATAATTGTTATAATGTAAGAAAATATTATTTAGCACTGGTAAAATGAAAGTAATAAAATGAATTTCTAATTCTAATAAATTTTGAAATATTTCTAAAGAAATAAATACTATTCCAACTCTTAGAAAGAAATTGGGGGGCCCTAACGAGCAAAAAAATGTCTTGACACCATATTCAGATTTAAGTTTCTCTTTTTTTCAAATGTTCAACTTTTTCTTTCAAGTTTTTGTATCTACATTCACTGTGTTTTGATGCAAAAATCTGTTCCTAAAACTGGTTGTTACAGATATAATCAAAATTCTGCATTGTATTTTAAATTTAATCAAGAACTACTTGTCTTAGTTCTATGATAGCTTTATATAAAGAGAGATACCTTTATTTATTCCTAATTTTAAGGACTCTGCACAGTCCAATACTAAATTATTAGAACTATGATAGCAAAATGACAGTGAGTTACCTCAAATTTTTGTGATTATAAAAAGTCTCAATGGCAGGCATGATATACAAAAGTATGTAAACAAAGTTTCCTATAAAAACCATTATTTTAAAATGCTGTTTCCAATAATAAATGTTCACATCCTCCAGTTTATAATTCCACAGTCATCACTAAACAAACCTTTGAATGTAAGAGAAAGGTACACTGTCCATTTTGGTGAAGAGATTTAACCAGAAACTCAACTTTAAAAAGATAGAAGTATAAATTTTTCTTCAATACTACGGGGAGATAATTTGTTGTAACTGGGAAATAAATACCTGCTAACCTTGGGCTTAGGAATTTTCACAAGCATTTGTGACTCCTAGCTTCTCATAATCCCAGAGGTTCTCTAATAAAAAGTTGTGGGTTTTGGTTGTACTATAATGTTAATCAAGATCAAATTAACCATCTGTGACTTATAATAAAGTAGTCCTGGTGTCTATCACCTTCTTTTCTAAACAGTGTATCAGTGGGGTTTTACAATGGATTAAATTCCTGACTTTCACAGCAAAACTTCTCAAGTCTTGACTCCTGCAATTTAAATGACAAGTAAAAATCAATACAGATGCTTTTGTTAATAGTCTCAAAATGAGAAAACCAGGGTATCTGGAATAGAAACACAAGAACCCAAGGTTTAACAGTACTAATTTTTAGTTTCCAACCTCCTAGGGCTTCTGAATTATCATGGTCCTCAAACCATCCTCTTACCTCATAAACCACCCTGTTTCTTGAATTATGAACCAAATTTACAACGATCTGAGAACATGTGCACTGCAAAATTGTTTAGCTCCCTAACTTTTTCATCCCACAAAAACTGAAATGCAAGACAGTGCAACTAATTCATTTTCAAGGCTTTAAACACTGCTATAACTCAAGAAGTATAAATGTTACAGAATTTCATAGATATCTGAACTGCATCATGTATTTAAATACCCTCACTTTCTCCATGAGGGAACTAAAGACCCCCAAAAGGTAAAGACTGGGCCCCAAGTTATAGACCCAAAAAGAAAATTTTAACCAGAATATAAATACATGACTGCAAGCTCACATTATTGTCCAGCTGGTCCTACAAGCACAGAAAGATGATTTAATTCAATCCCTTTATTGTATAGATGAGCACACGGGATTACAATGGTTACCAGGTTTGCTTAATGGGGGAAGGTTATTCACGAAGTTTGTCAAATAGAAGAGCTGAAACCCTGGAAATGCTTTCTAAGCTTCCACACGTAAGGAGAAAGCACTGCCTTAATCTATATTCCTTGAGGATTCTCTTTTCTGGCAGTTACTATTACTTTTCTACACTTTGAGGCCCACATAATAAACTCATAGCTTTGTTTCAAAACAACTATTTTCAAAGGCCATTTTCCAATATCAAAATAGTAATGCAGGCAACCAAAACCTACTCACGGGAACAGGTACTTCATACCAGGCACTCTTCTATGGACAAGGGTAAAACAAAGCCTGAAAGCATCCCCTATTCTAGAAAAGGGAGACGGGATGACCTGAAACCTAACCGCCAAGCAACAGAGCGAATAAATACACACAATCATTTCAAGTACTCATACATGCTGGGCCTAAAATTCTAAACCCAAATGTTGAGGGAGACTTTTTTCTAATCGGAATGATTAGAAAAATCAGCTTCGCTGAGAAGTGGCCCGATAAACAGGGAGTTTGGGGAAGGGGGATTTCTCTAACAATTCATACTGACCACTGAAAATTGCTAGAGGGGCCATATGGTTTGAGAGAGAGAGAGAGAGAGAGAGAGACTGTGTGTGTGTGTGTGTGTGTGTGTGTGTGTATGTTGTGTTTCGTGGGGTGTTTTGTCATTGTTTTTTGTTTGTTTTTTTTAGAAATCGTGTACTTTTCTTCAACCTCATTTCTATTTTCTGTTTTAAGCGTCAGTGGAAAAACAGCATAAGATACTAGCCGGCCGTCCCTACCCGTGCAGAGGCCCCCGCAGGGGGAGCTGCAAACATCCCCCGCCCCCCACCGGCCCCGGGCGGGAGCAGGGCACTGCTTCCTGGGCACAGACGGGAACCGCCTACCTTCAGGCCAGTCTGCAACCTAAGGTTGAGCAGCAGGAACCTCGGGAACTGGAGCAGTCCACCTACCCGACCTTCCTCCTCGGTCACAGTCTTTGCAGCAGCAGCTGGTTCTTCCTTCTCAATCTCCCCAAGACGTCTGCAGAAATAGGGATCAGGTGTGATCTCCCGTCGGTGTTCCCGCGAGATCTGGAGCACGCAGTTGCAGAAACTCCCTGCCCGGCTGCCCCTCATCAAGGCCACTGAGTGAGCTTCCTTTGTTAACAAGTTGCAGGGGGTGGCAATGGCAATGACCACGCAGCGCAGAGGAGAGTTTGTATCACACAGAGCAATGACAGGCTGGTTAATTTAGGAGAGGCTAGTGGTCAGCCCTGGGATCAGTAACCACCGGAAGTCTCGGCTCTCTGAAGGCTCCCTGGATGAGGGTACTGAAGGTTCCAGAAGTGAACTGCCTAGATCGAGCTAGAGAAGGTTCCAGCAATAGGAGCGGCCACAGGGCAGCAGCCAAATGCAGCACAGCTCACCAACCAGTATCCCTAAAGCATATGACCCTGACATCAGCTGGGGTTTCAATGGCAACAATGTTGCCTCCCCGCAGAAGCTTCTCCCAGGTTCTCTTCAGATTTGTCATGTAGATGCTATCAATTTTCCTTTTGTAGAGTAGGTACCATCTAAATGGATTCCTGATGCAAGTGATTTGAAAATATTCTTTTCCATCATTTGCAGGACATCAAGGGCACTGGACGTGAAAAATTTTCCTGTAAGTTACCACGGGAATTCAGGACAACAATTTATGGACTCTTCCCTGGTAGCACAGATTGGTGAGTTCATTTTTTTAAGCACCAAAGTGTTACCAGCAGCATAGGAGCCAATGAAATAAGAACAGGAAAAAAATAACCTTAACTTAAAGCAGAACATCCCCTCTTGCTTACTCTCCCTTTCTGTCTCTCTTGTCTCTTGCACACACACATCAATCAGCAAACAAGCAAAGGAAAGTAAATGTAACGTGAAGAAACTCAACCCACAAGAAATGCTATAAGAAGCCTTGATTGTCATTAATCTGAGACTAATGAGAATATCTCATTTCAAGAAAATGTTTTACTATTTTAGTATTATCTCTCCAAGATATTTACTTATATAGCACCATTTTCATGTTTTCCTTATTTCTAGGAATTTTTTTAAAATTTAAACCTGTGCATTATTTAAAACTAAAGTATCTATTTTCTTTTTTTTTTTTAATGTTTATTTATTTATTTTGAGAGAGAGAAAGAGAGAGCATGATCGGGGAAGAGGCAGCGAGAGAGAATCCCAAACAGGATCTGTGCTGTCAGCACAGAGCCCCATGTGAGCCCAGCACAGAGCTCACGACCCATGAGATCATGACCTGAGCCAAGATCAAGAGTTGGATGCTTAACTGACTGAGCCACCCAGTTGCCCCATAAAGCATTCTATTTTCTTATCAAAAGTTATATAGGTCTATTTAAGAAAACTTTTAAAAACGTGAATTTGTATAGAAATAAAATATTTAAAAACATGATCATCCCTTCTCCTAAGTACAAGAGCTGGTCCCTAGAAGATCTTCCTTTCAAACCTGCCTCTCCTCCACATCATCTTTGATTGCACAGCATTTCTGGTCACTCAAAACTTTATATGTGATAAGGCTACTCCTTGGCTTAAAATGTTTGCTTGGCTGATTCCCTTATTCCCACTGCATGCAATGAATGCCCAGACTTCAGTAGCTTGTATGCCCGGCATGTTCCTTTTCCTACTTAACTCTCCCACTTGATTTCTTTCACAGTCATTATGTCTTTGTCATTATTTCACAGTATGCCCTCTGAGGCTTTATTCCTGTGATTTCTCCAAGGGAACACATTTCTTCTAACTCCATGGCCTCTGAGCATGTTGTGCTGTCTGAAATACACAAGAGAAAAGCACAACCCTTTTCACCAGACAGCTCAGACTGATTCTTCTGTTCTCAGATTGCTTCAGACAATGACTGGATTTAGTGCTCATCTTTCATTATCAGAAGACCCTGCTGACGTCATCGGCTTTCATGTGCTATCTTATATTTCTACAAATATTTATTAAGTTTTCTTCTCTGTGCCAGTCACTCCTCTAAAGGGAAAAGCAGCAAACAAAACAGACAAAATACCTACCCAATTGGAGTTTACATTCTAGTGAGGAGAAACACACAGTAGACAAAAATATAATTTAGACAATGTCAGATGGTAATCAGTCCTATACAAATTGCTTAGGGAAGAAGAAGTATCTGGGCATTGGAGTTTGTACTGGGTGATCAGAGAGAGTCTCAGTGAGGTACAACATTTGAACAGAAATAAGGTGGAGCATAGGAACAAACCATGCAAATTTCTAGGAGGTAGATGTTCCAGAAAGTGAAAGGGCTGTGAGGTTTTCGAAGACTTATGTCTCCAGAAGTTAGCTAAATGCCAGGGTTGGATTTAAAAAAGAGAAGAACATTTGGAAATGAGGATCTACGTCTACATTTCTCAAATGCTCATCCTAGAGCCATTATTTCTTTATACACGAATAGCCAGAGCCTATATTGCAATATTAAGATATTTAGCAACATCCTTGGTTTATATCCACTAGATATTAATAGCATTCCCATAAACCTCCCATAAATCCTGACCCTAACCCTAACACCTAACACGTAAACTTAACCGTAACCCTTAAACTTAACCCTAACCCCTAACCCCTAACCATAACCATAACCATAACCATAACCATAACCATAACACTGAATTAACATGAAATTTAACGTTATTTTAGAAAACGATTCTTTCTTATGTGTTCAGAACAGACCATGGGATAACAGGCAGAAATAGCACAGTGGTTGTTCAGATCAAGACGACAGGAGTGCAGGTGATGAGAAGTAGTCAGATTCTGGAGTCATCAGATTTCCTGGAACATTGTCATGGATGTGAGAAAAAGACAGAAATCACGGATGACTCCAAAATTTTGGGCCCCCCAAAGTGTAAAGACTGGACTTGCTAGAGATGGAGAAGGCTACAGGTGGAAGGGGCTTTAGGAGAAAATTCAGGAATTCTATTCAGCAATAAGTGTCAGGTGTCTATTAGACATCAAGCTAAAGATGTTAACTTGTCAGTTGGCTATAAGAGTCTGCATTTCAAGGGAATAATCTGGGTCAGAAACATGAATTTGAGAGTCACCTACACATGATTGATATATACAACCATGTGATTACATAAGATCACCAAAGGGATACAGATAAATAGAAAAACAAGAGAAATGGACAAGGGGAAGGAAAGGAAGAGGAGGAGAGACTCATGAGTTGAGATCTGGGGCACTTACACTTGAAATGATCAGGGGGGAAAGGAGAAATCAATAATTGAGACTATAAAGAAGGAGGGAAACAAAATGGGTGTGATGTCCAGGGAGATAAATGATTGCAGAGTATTAGGGGTAGGGATCAAATATTTCTGCCAAATATTTCTGCTAAGTAAGGAAGACTGCCTATAACAATGGATTTAACAATATGAAGGTCACTGATGTTAATTATAAGAGCATTTCTGATTGAGTAATGGGAGCAAAAGCCTAACTGGAGTGAGTTAAAAGAGAGTAAAAGAGCAGACCTATGCTTGGCATAACCTTACTGAACCCTCAGCAAACTCTGAATCTTTGAAATCAGAGATATTCACAGTCGTTATTTCTTTGTAACTTCAAACTATAGGAAACATCTTGGAACAGACATGGGTGAACCATAAGTAATTGTACCCTTAGAGATCTCCTATATTATTATAGTCAATAAAAATATATGCCATGTAGATTGCTACAGAAATCTTCACAGTTGTATATGGAACTCTGAGTGTTTTATAATTTTAATCTGGCGGCAAAGCCAACTGTATATCAGGAGTATTTTAATTGGTATACTGTCTTAAAGAGTATAAAAGAAATAGATAAACTACTTTCTAATCAGTTGTAACCAAGTAAACTATTTTGCAATTCATTATTACTGAAAACAATGGGAAGAAGACCAGGAAACCCCAGGAATTAGGGATGAGGATAAGTAGAAACTAATGGAAAAGCAAAAAGCATACAGAGTTTGAAGAAAAAAATATGAACTACAGGATGAAAACAAACCAGTTATAGGAGAGCAAAGTACAATGAAATCAGAATAACTACAGCAGTGGATAAAATTGAGGCATTCACAGTGACAGCAGGAGTACATCCAATATATCCAATAATCAAGACATTGAAATAAGGCAACAGTTGTCTTGGCAGAAAGCTTATCTTTAAAGATTATGGCCAAGTGGCAGTTTTCATCGCCAAAAATATTAAAATAAAATAAATGAAACATATAAAATAAAATAATAGTAAATTAAGGCAATGACCATCTCAGAATCTTATGTTTACATTGCCAAGGTGGAAGAACTAGCACATGGAAGGGATACTGTGGGTTAAATCATATCCCCCTTATATTCTGTAACAGTGTTCTTTTTCACACGGGGGATAAAATATTTTCTTTAAACAATTTTAGAAATAAAAGTAGTAACAGGGTGCTTTTTTGTATGTGAAAACAGAATATGTAATAATGATAATAACAACTGTTCATTGGTTTCTTAATGAATTTGGACAAGTACAGAAGAATGCTTTGGTTCTAAATTTGCAAATCTGCTGATCATTATTCCATTGAATTTTACTAATATGCTGCCATTAAACCAAAAGTAAATAGTGGTATATTACTTAGGGTTTTACCTCCTTGAAAGAAAATCTAAAGGCCCATGATATGCAGACATGTAGAGCTGAGATCAAGTTTATATCTCATGTAGTATACAGACCCTTGGCTATAATGTTAACCCCCAAATCACCTACACTTGCATCTCACTTGGGCCATGTATTTACTCTTTGTTCCATATGCACTAATATTTGTGAAAAAACTGTTCAATTAAAATATTTGCTCTTTTTATAAAGCATATGTCCTTGAGCTTAAAAACAAAGTCAATTCCTTCCAAGTGCTGATGACCAAAATAAGGGAAAGGTTAAGAAGTCTAAGAAAGTGATAATGTTAAAGCAGGAAACATATTTTGGCTAAAACAATGAAATTTTACATTTCATTTAAATTGAAATTGAAATTTTAATTTTACATGAACATCCTAAATGAACCTGTCATTCTTTCTGATCTGTACAGAAACAAACAAAGTTTGTAAGACATCAGTAAATGCTCCCATCAATACTTTTTGGGGGAAACTACATGG